TTAATAAAACCATAATTAGATACTGATAGACACTCACTATAATGGTTAATTATATGTATCAACTTGTCTAAACTAAGGGATATACCAATAGGTGATAAAACATTATTTCTAGGTGTGTCTGTGAGGATGTTTCTGAAGAGATTTGCATTGGAATCAGTAGACTGAGTAAAAAAGATTGCCCTTACCAATGTGGGCGGGCACTATCCAGTTTGTTGAGGTCCTGAATAGAACAAAAAGGTAGAGGCAGAAGAAATTCACTCTCTGTCTAAGCTGGGATAGCTATCTTCTCCTGCTTTTGGACATCAGTGTCCCTGGTTCTCAGGTCTTTAGACTCGGACCAGGACTTATACCACTGACCCCCCAGTTTTCAGGCCTTTGCGTTTAGACCAGAACTTACACCATCAGCTCCCCTGGTTCTCAGGCCTTGGGACTTGGACTGAATTACACCACCAGCTTTCCTGGCTCCCCGACTTGCAGACAACAGATTGTGGGACTCTTAGCTTCCATAATCACATGAGTTAATTTCCATAATAAACATATACATATATATGAAGAGATTTATGTTATACGCAAACACATTCACACACACAGACAGACAGACACACACACCTCCTATTGGTTTTGCTTCTCTGGAGAACCCTGATTAACTCACACCAAAATGGCTGAAATGATACAAAACAACATCTATCAATACCAAGGATGGTGAAGATATGGAGCAATGAGAACTTTCTACACTGCTGCTAGGAGTGTAAATTGGTACGACCTCTCTGGAAAATGTTTGGCAGTATCTACTAAAACTGAAATAGATATTTTGTGACTGAGCATTCCATTTATATGTATATGCCTAACAGAACTGAGCACAGATATGTATGAAAAGGCACAGGAATGCTCAGTAATGTTCAAAGAAGTTTTATTCATAATAGTTTCAAACACGGTGGTGGTGCAGTGGTAAGCATAGCTGCCTTCCATAAATAGTCCTAAACTGGAAAACAACCCAAGTGACCAGCAACTGTAGAATGAAAAAATATATTGTGGTATGTTCACACAATGGAACACTATACATCAATAAAAAATGAAGTACTGATACATGTGACAGCATGGATAAATTTTACAGATTTAATGTTGAGATTAATAGTCCAGGCACAAAAGAGTAAAATTGTAGTTCTACTTATGTAAAGCTCAAAAATAGGCAAAACTAATCTATGGTGACAGATTCTCAGAATAGTGGTTACCTTTGAGGCTCACTGACTTTGGAGGGGTACAAAGGAAGCGTCTAGAATGCTGTTAGTTTGCATAGATTGATCTAATCATGATTATGTTAATAAATTCATTTGTAAAACCTCTTCAATTTATAAGCTTGAAATTCACACATTTTATGTTGTGATTCATTAGACAGATTTACAAAAAGAAAAAATACTATCACAGGACCTCTGCTTCAATAAAGTCATTTATATCAGAAAAAATATCTTGGTGAAAATAACTATAAATACTGGTGGGAATAGGGATAACAGTTGTTTGAAAGTACTATAAAGCAAACAAGGCAGCAGGTCTTGAGGAGCCAACATCCTGGAAAGATTAAAAAAATGATTAAGGAGAGACCTATAGTCTCTACTGATTTTGCCCACAAGGCATTTTCTAACAGGTAAAAATGCCTTTTGGGCGTTTTTACCCATTGCTAGAGGCTGAGAGTCAGATATTCAACATCACACTTGGCTGGAAAGAAAAAATTGGAATTCAGGGACTTTAGAGACCAAGATCTCAGAAACAAAAAGCCCAGCATTCTGGACTACTTTTTCTTTTTTGTAGCATTCAGATGTCTAAGGTTCCTGGGGCATGACACTAAAAAATACATAGTGAAAAGCAGCTTTTTAGGAGGCTAGAAAACTAAGCAAAGACTTCGGTAATCTCACAATGGTGAGGAAACAAAAATTGGAGTTCAGAGCTAGCCAAGAAGGTGACTAGCATGAAGTAATAAATATCTCATGCTTTCCGTCAAACTCCATGGAAGGCTCTACCAATAGAAATAAGGATAAACAGGAAATAGACCAAGCCTCACAAAGACTGAGACAAGCCGAAAAGTCATCTCAATTGCTGAATGGATCAATACAATCTGACCCAACCCTTACCATCAGCCAAAAGAAATCCTCTCTAAAGAAATATAACACCATACGGAATATCTCCAATTCTCCACACATAATTGCCAACATTCAAAGATTCCTAGGCATGCCAAAAGATACGACCAAACAACCAAAAATTACAGAATAAACATGCAACAGAAACATACAATGATAATCAAAATCGTAGATTCAGATATGAACTTTAATATAGGTATGATTAATTTGTTCAACAAAATAAATGACAAGATAAAAAATTTTATGAGATAAGTGGAAATTAAAGAAAATCAAATGGAAAGTCTAGAGGTTAAAAAGATAATAATTGAGGCCAGGAGCAGTGGCTCACGTCTGTAATCCTAACACTTCCAGAAGTCTCTTGGCAGAATCTTTGGGGTTTTCCAGATATAAGATCATTTTATCAGCAAAGAGCAATAGTTTGACCTCTTCTTTCCCCATTTGGATACCCTTGATTTCCTTCTCTTGTCTGACTGCTGTGGTTAGGAGTTCCAGCACTATATTAAACAGAAGTAGTGACAGTGGACAACCTTGTCTGGTTCCAGTTCTAAGTAGGAATGCTCTCAATTTTTCTCTGCTCAGTATTATGTTGGCTGTGGGTTCGTTGTATATGGCTTTTATAATATTGGGATATGTTCCATCTATGCCTATTGTGCTAAGAGTTCTGTATCACAAAAGGGTGCTGAATTTTGTCAGATGCTTTTTCTGTGTCTATCGAGAGGATCATATGGTCATTGTTTTTGCTTCTATTTATGTGGTGAATCACATTTACAGATTTGTGTATACTGAACCATCTTTGCATCTCTGGGATGAAGCCCACTTGATTGTGGTGGATTATTTTTTGATGTGCTCCTAAATTTGGTTTGTTAGGATTTTGTTGAGAATGTTTCCAATGATAATCATAAGGAATACTGGTCTGTAACTTTTTTTGTTGCATCCTTTCCTGGCTTTAGTATCAGAGTGATATTGGCTTTGTAGAATGAATTGGGGAGGATTCCTTCCTTCTCTATGTTATGAAATAATTTCTGCAGTAGAGGGACTAGTTCTTCTTTCTAGGTCTGGTGAAATTTAGCTGTGGAATGATCTGGTCCAGGACATTTTTGTTAGGAGATTTTTTTTTTTTGAAACAGTCTCGCTTTGTGCCCAGGCTAGAGTGAGTGCTGTGGTGTCAGCCTCGCTCACAGCAACCTCAAACCCCTGGGCTCAAGCAATCCTTCTGCCTCAGCCTCCAGAGTAGCTGGGACTACAGGCATGCGCCACCATGCCTGGCTAATTTTTTCTATATATATTAGTTGGTCAATTAATTTCTTTCTATTTATAGTAGAGATGGGGTCTCACTCTTGCTCAGGCTGGTTTCGAACTCCTGACCTTGAGCAATCCGCCCACCTTGGCCTCCCAGAGTGCTAGGATTACAGGTGTGAGCCACTGCGCCCGGTCCTAGGAGATTTTTTATTGCTGCTTCAATTTTGTTATTTGATATTGGTCTCTTCAGGAGTTCTATTTCTTCCTGATTGAGCCAGGAAGGTTGCGTGTTTCCAAAAATTTGTCCATTTCCTCTACATTTTCAAGTTTATGTGCATAGATATTTTTATAGTATTCAGGGATTATATTTTGTATTTCTGTGGTTATCAGTTGCAATATTTCCTTTTTCCTTTCTGATTGAGCTTATTAGGGTCCTTCCTTTTCTATTTGGTTAATCTAGTGAGAGCCTGTTGACATTTTGTTCATCTTTTCAAGGAATGAACTTTTTGTTTCATTAATCTTGTGTATAATTCTTTTGTTATTGATTTCATTTAGTTCTATTCTGACCTAAGCTATTTCTTTTCTTCTGCTGGGTTTGGGATTGGATTGCTGTTCCTTTTCCAATTCCTTGAGATGATTCATTAGCTTGTTGATTTGTGATCTTTGTCTTTTGGATGTAGGCATTTATGAGTATGAATTTTCCTCTTATGACTGTTTTTGCTGAATCCCATGGGTTTTGATAACTTGTATCCTCTTTCTTATTTAGTTCCAAGAATCTTTTGAGTTCCACTTTAATTTCCTCCTTGACCTAATAACGACTCAGGAGTAGGTTAATTTTCATGACTCTGTGAAGAGTTGAGTGTTTCTGTTGGAATTGATTTCTAATTTTATTCCACTCTAATCTAAGAAGATACACAGTATAATTTCTATTTTTTTTTATTTGCTAAGGCATGTTTTGTGGCCTATGATGTGATCAATCTTAGAGCATGTTCAATGAGATGATGAGAAGAGCATATATTTAGTAGTTTTTGAGTAGAATGTCCTGTAAATGTCTGGCCTCTTTGTTCTAGAGTTCTGTTTAAGTCCATCATTTCTTTACTTATTTTCTGCTTAGAGGACCTGTCCCATTTTGCCAATGGGGTGTTGAAATCCCCAGCTATTATGGTGCTATTTATCATTTTATTTAGATCATAGGGTTTGCTTTATGAATCTGTGTGCACCTGCATTAAGTGAATAAATATTCAGAATTGTTAAGTCATCTTGTTGAATTGTTCCCTTTGCCATTATATAATGACCATCCTTGTCTTTCATTACTTTTGCTGATTTGAAGTCTATACTGTATGATATGAGAATGGCTATACCAGCTTTCTTTTGTTTTCTATTTGCATGGAATATTGTTTTCCATAACTTCACCTTGAGTGCTTGAGTCTGAATGAGTCCTTGTGAGTTAGATATATTTCCTGGAGATAGCAGATACTTGGCTGGTATTTTTTTAATTCATTCAGCCAGCCTATGTCTCTTTGGTAGAGAGTTCAAGCATGAATGAACACTTTTAAAAAGAGGATATGCAAATGACAAATACAAATATGAAAAAAAATAATTAACAGTATCAGTCATCAGGAACGTGCAAATTAAAACCAGGATACAGGAGGCCTGTCTGAGCGACCTTCAGCGCGGTTGGGTCCAAGTTTGAAATATGGCAACTTTGAAAGATATTACCAGGCGACTGAAGTCCATCAAAAACATCCAGAAAATTACCAAGTCTATGAAAATGGTAGCAGCACCAAAATATGCCCGAGCTGAGAGGGATCTGAAACCAGCTCGAGTGTACGGAACAGGATCTTTGGCTCTTTACGAAAAAGCTGATATTAAGGTGCCTGAAGACAAGAAGCACCTCATCATTGGTGTGTCCTTAGATAGAGGGCTTTGTGGTGCCATCCATTCCTCAGTTGCCAAGCAGATGAAAACTGAGGTGGCTTCGCTCACAGCAGCCGGGAAAGAAGTTATGATTGTTGGAATTGGTGAAAAAATCAGGGGCATACTTCATAGGACTCATTCTGACCAGTTTCTGGTGGCATTCAAAGAAGTGGGCAGAAAGCCCCCTACTTTTGGAGATGCGTCAGTCATTGCCCTTGAGTTACTAAATTCTGGATATGAGTTTGATGAAGGCTCTATCATCTTTAATCGTTTCAGGTCTGTCATCTCCTATAAGACAGAAGAAAAACCCATCTTCTCTCTTAATACTGTTGCAAGTGCTGAGACTATGAGTATCTACGATGATATTGATTCTGATGTGCTGCAAAATTACCAAGAATACAATCTGGCTAACATCATCTACTACTCTTTGAAGGAGTCTACCACCAGTGAGCAGAGTGCTAGGATGACAGCCATGGACAACGCCAGCAAGAACGCTTCTGATATGATTGATAAGTTGACTTTGACATTCAACCGCACCCGCCAAGCTGTCATCACGAAAGAGTTGATTGAAATTATCTCTGGTGCTGCAGCTCTGGATTAATGAAAATCAAGTTCCATCCTCAGATAAGAGGTAAAGAAGGAAAATTCAGCCAGCTGATTTGTTTTTAACTTACTGCTGTTTTGTCAGAAGTTGTTGCTCCACTGTTTGAATGAAGACAGCAAGATATTTGTAAATTATCTTACAATAAACAACTTAAAATAAAAAAAATAATAAAAAAAAAAACCAGGATACACTCACTAGAATGGGGTACAATTAGAAATATGAAAAAACATCAAATTTGGGAACAATATTAAGTGACTAAAATCCTTAAGCACTTTTGGATGGAAATAATTCAATCACTCTGAAAACCTATTAGGCAGTATCTACCAGAATCACATACTCTATGACCCAGAAATCTAGCAATTAATTCAATCTCATTCTCTCCCCACCTCCCTGTCTGTCTCTCACACACACACAAAGGCACATATTCATGTAATGCATATATGTGCATATATACCACAAATTTATCTAATAATATTCATCAAAACACACATACATTCACCAAAAATCATGTACTGAAGTGTTCACAGCATTATTTGTAAGAGTCCCAACTAGAAACAACTGAAATTTACATAATCAGTTAAAGACATTTTGCTATACTCATACAATGTTATATATCTATGAAAATTAACAAACCACTGCTAACACAAAAACATGGAGAAATCTCACAAATATGTGAGAGAAAGAAGCCAGACATAAGAAATTCATGATGTAGCATTCCACCTTTTAAGTCTAGTAAGGATTGGGTAGCGGCAGGCAGGAAGCTTCTGGGGTATCAACGATATTCTATTTCTTGGTATGAGTGATATTTTAAATGGGTATTCACTTTATCAGTTCCATCAACCTATACATTAACATTTGAAGACTTTAAATGTATGTTACACTTCAATTAAATTTTTACTTAAAAATATTACTACTATAACAAAATATCACAATTCTGTTTTACAAAATGTTATAATATAGATCCCAAGAACAACAAAAAAGTTTCCTCCTGCCCACTATGCCTTCACTATGGTCTCCAGTGGTTTTTGAAAAAACCACTGGGAAAAAAATTTTGAAGATTTTTGGATCACTGTTTCCTTTGAGTACAATAAAGATTAAAGATTGAAAGTCATTAAAATGTTTGCTCCCCATGCTAAACTTGTATGAGTAGTAGAACAATAAGGTTAAATCCGAGAGATTGTTAAGTCAAAGAAGATAAAGGTATTGAGGAAAGGTTCCTATTTATTAAACTGAATTATGCATGTAACCAAATTTGACATTTTTTATGTTGTTCCATACTTCATATAACTTCATGTTGATACTTCAATTTTAATAGGCAGACTACAACTTTCAAATAAATTGCATTCTAAAAGTTGAGCTGCATTAAGTTTTCTGCATCTTAATTGTAAGTAGCTATATATATTACAGCAAGAAAAGAAAAAAGAACAGTTTTCTCCACCACCCCTCCCTCCCCGCCCACCACCCTGGCATCAGGTTTTACCCAGGACATTAAAATTACCTACCTGGTCACCAAAGTCAACTGCATTAGCCACACATACCATAAATCACAGATGGTAAGTTCACTTCAGTACGTTATAGATGAAAAAGGGAAAGAAGAGAAAGTATGGCCAAATAGCAACACTGAAAGTTAAAGAAAAAGGGGTGCATACTTTTAAAATGAATGAGAAGACAGGTTGGATATAAAAGATAAGAGTACACAATAACATAAGACTCCTGGGAAGGAGGGGATGGGATCCAAAGTAAGGGATCCAAAGTAATATTGGAGAGATTGACCTTGAAGACAATGATGTATCATGAGGTAGTTTTTTACCTACCTCATGATTTTTGGACTTTTAAAACATGTCCAAAAATTCTTTTAACTAGTTCCATCAAAGGCAGGAATCTAATTCACCTTTCTTTGATATGGACTCATTTATAAGCAACTCACTTCTAATGAATAGAATGCAGCAAAAAAGATGCTGATGACTTCAGAAGATAGGTCATAAAAGGTGACACAGCTTCCACCTGGCTCTCTTCCTCTTTCTTGGAACTCAGCCACCATGTTATAGGAGGCCCAAGCCATATGTAGAGGTCATATGCAGGTGCTATAGGTGACAGTCCCAGCAAAGGTTCAAAGTTGGCATCAACAAGGAGACACAGGAATGAGCAAGTCTTTAGGTGATTCCAATTCCCAGCTTTTTAGCTGAGCTAGCTGATGTCAAATAGAGCAGAGAACAAACTGTCCTCGCTGAGCTCAAATTGCATTTTCATAAGCAAAATAAATGTTGTCATTGTTTTAAGCTACTAAATGTAGCAGTGATGTATGATGTAACAATACATAAATAGAAGAGACAACTCCTCTATTATAATAGAATAAGATAAAGTAAAAATACAGGTTTGAATGTGCAATAGGAAGAAGTTAAAGGGGTCCCCGTCTGATAGCTTTTATTTTCCTTATGAAATATGAGGCAAGATCATTGCTTTGAATGAGAGATAATGGAGAAGTCAGATGTATAAAGAGAGAGGAAAGAAATAGAAATTGAGAAAATTGGAGACAGAGTTGAACAGAGAAATGTGGTAAAACTGCTAAGTCATGTTGACAGCCCATTTGAGGTTGATGATAATGAATTTATAGTGCTCTTCAGGGTGGTTTTCTCTAGCAGTGCTTAGCTCCTGACTGAAAGCACTAAGAAAGCAGATAGCTGAGTTTATCTAAGTAAGATATTTGTCAGAAATATGATAAAGAGACAGAAGTGCAAAGAATTTTGGGGACCAGGGAATCTAAACTGGTTAAGAAGAAAAATGAAGAAGTGAGAGGGCTGACAGACGAATGGATGAGAGCATTCTCATGAAGAATGATCATAATGAGGATACTTTAAAAGCAAGCAAAAAGGAAAGGATGTTCTGATCAAAGAATGACACACCTACATTGGTAATTCTTGAGCAATTAATGAATATGACAAGGTTCTTCGCAAGATTAGATATCTGAAATGAAGTGAAAAGGAGTTAGGAGATAACAGGAGATAACTGAAATGCAATGATGATGGATGGCTCATTACCAGAGAATTTGAAACTACCCATGATGAATGCAGAGTTTAGAGTATAGAGAAAGATTGTGAGCCTGGTGCAAAAGTTTTTGATGAATGCCAAGTAAGCAAGAAATTGGTAAATGGTAGCAACAAGGATGGGAAAGTGGTATACTTGAATGACATAAGCTTCAAATGATGAAGTTTTCAAAAGCTTGGGAGCATAATACTGTATGTCTTCCTACCTGCCTGAGAGCAATCTCTCACTACCACTTATAAGTGATATAATTTTGATATATGTTAAATAAACTAACATGTGCTAAAAAGAGAAAAAAGAGGTTTCCTCTTACCAAGTAAACCAATTATGATTCCCAAACAGTGAATGCATTACAGAGAAAGTTCCTGCCAACTGGGGAAGGGGTTGTACACTTTTAGAAGAGGCTTGAATTTTTGACTCACTTAAATACCCATGATTTTAGCTTCCACCATGGCATAAGCCAAGAACTGTCCACATTCTAGAGATCAAAACACTAAACAAGATAGATACCGTCTCTACCCTCCCAGGTCACAGAAAGCAATATAATATATAAGTGCTATGATTATAGATGTAAACATCTCCAAAATGGACTCAAAGCAAGTTTCTATTTCAGTCAGTTTCAGTCTATTTCCCAAAATGATCTCAGAAATTCTATACTTCTTCCTATATAAACTCCTATGTTACATTTTCACCCTGGTATCCTTCTCAGGCACCTGTGTATCATTATACACCTTATCATAAATATTTAAGTATCTGCCTTCCAGTTTAAGGAGATGAACCAAGTTTTATTTTTATTTGCATCTACAGACTAGCACAGTATCTGGTATGAAGTAGGCACTTATTAAGTACTGATTAAAAATGACTAAAATGACTAAAGATGGAATGAATGAATGGCAAATGAATGAATGTTTTGCCTCTGTGTCATATTGTGAGTTGAATTATGGCTTATTTAGTGACTTCATGACTACAGCCTAAACTGCAACTCATATTCTTCTCCAGTTTAACATTTGATGGCTCCTACCCAATGAGGGAGCCATGCTGAGATTGAAGGAGCTAAATTACAAATATAGGTGGCCCCTGTAAAAGAAGCTAAGAAAAATCTGTATCAACATGTTCTCTCAAGTTTGTGGCTTATATATGACAATGGCCTGCTGATGCTATATGGTCATCTACTTAAGAATATGGTAGAGAAATTAAATACTCATTTTACTAAGACCCTAAACTAATCATATCTCAGGATAGTTTTTTTAATTTTTTGAGGACAAAGTCCAGATGGTGAACACAAATTTGTCACAAACTTAAAGGTTTAGACTCAACAGTTGTCTTACAAGAAAATAAGTTTCAGATGTTCCTGAAAAGTTAACATACGGAACAGTAGGCAATAGTGAATACAACATTAAACTATAGCCATAAAGCCTGGGACTTTATAACTTATTAAAGCAGGCCAGATAAAAGATATGGCATCTATATTGGATTTTCTAAGGCAGAATCAATTTCAATTATGCTAGTGTATCAATTCAACTAATGCATTTCTCTCTTTTAAAAAATCCTAAATTTGATTCAGAAAATCATCTGCATAGATGCAGAGCATTACTGAATCTAATTTACATTACAACAGAAAAGTGAAAAACCAAATTATTGCCAGAGAAAACAATCTATACTCTACTTCCTATAACATTCTCCTAATTGTGCTTTTACTTGTCTAAATCTTCCATGAAGACAACTCTTTATTCCCCATTCCATTAGTTAGGAAATAAAAATAAATGAATGGATGAATTATAAGAGATTAAAATATGAAAATACACTAAAAGCAATTTAAGCTACACTTCCAAATCAGGGGAAACCATTTGTTATTTGCATAATAGTAGTAAACCTCAATCTTAGCAAGAAAAAGTCCTATCTTATGAATACTGATGATTCTTTTGTAAGGTGTAGGGGGCTGGAGAGGTTATAAAACATATAAAAAGAGTAAAAAGGCAAGCCGTAGTGGCACATGCCTGTACTCCCAGCTATCCAGGAGGATCACTTGAGCCCGGGAGTTCGAGTCCAGCCTGGGCAACATAGTGAGACCATGTCTCAAAAAAAGAAAAAAAAGTTTTTTAAAAATATTAAAATTCTCTAGA